ATTGATAAGTAGATGCTAAGAGGCTACATTTTTTAATTAAGTAATAAGAAAATGCATAGTGTCTCATTCTTTAAAAAAAAAAACTTGGCTAACAGAAAACAAAAAAACTTGATCTTTCTAAACTAATTTTTATTATAGCCTAAAAATGAATTTCGTTTTAGTTAGTAGATTTAATAATTAGGTAGAGCTTACACCGTTACACGCACATACAGTGAGTTAATCTAACAAATTGAGCACTTTAGAAGCAGTGTACACCATGCCAACAAAAACAGAATATCAATTGTACCACTGCTAGTAAATAAATAAATAAAACATCATTTCTCTAAGGTTGAGAAAACTCCAGATGCAGACTTAAACCATGTGGCTAAAACCCCACAGCAGGAGAAGAGTCTGCCGTCACACCTGGACCCCCGTTCCCCGACCACCCACATCACTCGCACACCTCTCCAGTTGGAGAAGGTCAAGCTGGCCCAGGCTGACCCCAGGTCACCCACTGTGGGCATCTGCAGGACACCACTGGTCATGGACAAGGCTGAGGGTTAGTGTTGTATAGGTCACTTGATGTTGTTGGTTTGTTAGAAATGAGGGAAAACTTTTTTGCTGAGAAATTAGTTTCATTTTTTTTTTTTTGTTCTGCTAATATTACTTTCTGTAATGGTGAGAAACAGGATGAAGAAAATATTTTGTTTGCTTATTTATTTTTATTTATTTAATCTATTATGTATTTTTTGTATTTAATGTCATTGTTATTATTATTGATAATTTTATTGAATTTTGCTGAAAGTTTCCTCTGAATCTCATCTAGACTGAGTGACTGATTTTATTTATTATTTTGAAGTCAGTTGTAGAAATATGAGTCAGTTCAACAACATATTTAAATCAGTACTTATTCTTCCTGCTGCAGTTTTTCCTGTAGAAGATGGTGATACCCCGCTGAGCACCCTGAACCTTGACGACTCTGGTCTGGACCTCCCTCCACTAGAGCTGCCCCCTGACGAGACAGACAGCGATAATGTCACCACGCTGCTTCTCAACAGGTCTGCCTCTGAGCCTGATCTGACTTCTACACTCCCTGCCAAAACTAACTCTGGTAAGTCAGTCACTTTTATCATTTTATTTTAAAAATGGCAGTGTGATTGCCAATATTCTAAATGTGATATTTTTTTAAATGAAAAAATTGAATTTCCAATGCATCTTATAGTTTGGCATTGCTGAAGAGAAAAAGATCAATGTAGCACTGGACTGAGTATAAACAAAATTCTTGTTTATCCTGTTTCAGTCTCATTTTCATGGTGTATGAAAAGTAATGTCTGTTGAAAAATTACATTTATGTTCTTGAAGAACTTCTAATGATTTACTTGGTAGTTTTTATACTGAATTATCAGAAACACTATCATTGTAAATTTGTTTATTAGTTATAATATTAATTTTTAGTGGTTTTTATATTGCTTAGTCAAAGTATTTAAAAATGGAACAATTTTTTTCCACAAAGAAATTTTAACTACTCCAGTTACTCCTTTATTATGTTGTTAAAAATTGTCACAATTATACATTATAACTTAAGGTCCAAACTCTGACAAGAAAGTCAAGCCCCTTTCTGCCAGGAAGCTAAAAAAGCGCAGCAAACCAAAATCCCTCTTCCCATTGGACAGCTCAACGCCACCGCGATCGCCTCTGGCCTTCATAGACAGCAGTTCTCCTCGCGTCATTATGCAGAAAAAACAGCTATCCAAATTCGGACTACACAGACACGGCAGTCAGGCACTGGGGAAATACCAACCCATTGTGGACAAGGAGAATTTGCAAAGTGAAACTAATAAGTGAAGTGGATAGGTGTTAAGAGATGCAGTGGGCTTAACGTAGTACAACTTTGAGTGAACCGGACATTTGACAGTGACAGTGACATGGTGTTACCCTTATAACAACCATGAACATGATACATTGTGATGGGAAGTCTCAGTCACTTACAAGGGGCTTTACATATAATGAACAAAAATAAATTTAAAAAAAACTGTTCCAATTTGTATGTTACATGCAATATTCCCTGAATTCAATCATAACTTTTTATGATTATTATTTGGGTTTGAGTAAGAGATCCAAGTCCATTTTTATGAATACCTTTTTTTCCTCAGTTGCATTTGATAGTGGAATTCAATCATAAAAGAAGTCAGCAGCTGGCCAAGATTTCATGATGTGGAACTCGGATGCCTGTGAAAAGTCAGCATGTGAAAAATGTCCGTTTTTGTCCTTAATTTAGATATAAGAAATGTAAAAGGCATAAGCTACAATGCTAAACAAACCCAAACGATTGAGATTCAATGAGAAATGTATATGTGGTGATATAGAGATCTAGGAGGATAATGGATGGAAAAATGTATTGTTAGCATGTTTGTTTTCCTGTTAGTTGGTAAATAGTTGATTGGTGATTTTTTTGTGACTTACATTAATTACAAAGAGATACTCTTAATTAATCCCCTGCAATTGTGAGCAAGTGTTATTGCCATTTCAGTGTTTATTTGTTTCTTTTTTTATTCTTTTTTTTTTGTGGGAACATTCATGCCACCAAATATAATGCAGCATTGTCTGTTCTTGGTACTTTGCCATTGGTTTAAAGATGGCATGATGGATGTTATGTTGTATCCATAGGGAGATGAATAATGAAGTTTTCATGTGATTGCAAATGTTTTGAAGTTACACGAGGGACCATTGTGTTTTTCTTTTCAAAAATATGTTGAATATTTGTGAATTTGGTAGTGGTGTATAAGTTGAATGAAATAAGTTTGTGTTAGAATTGTGAGAGTCATTTGTGTAAAAATTTAAAAATAAAATAATCCTTCAAAAAATATATTTGTCCATTGACTCATGAATAGGTTGACCTCGAAATTCAATTTTTAAAGCAAACTTATCTATTCCATTTTCTCTATTGCAACGGTACTGGACANTGACTTCTACACTCCCTGCCAAAACTAACTCTGGTAAGTCAGTCACTTTTATCATTTTATTTTAAAAATGGCAGTGTGATTGCCAATATTCTAAATGTGATATTTTTTTAAATGAAAAAATTGAATTTCCAATGCATCTTATAGTTTGGCATTGCTGAAGAGAAAAAGATCAATGTAGCACTGGACTGAGTATAAACAAAATTCTTGTTTATCCTGTTTCAGTCTCATTTTCATGGTGTATGAAAAGTAATGTCTGTTGAAAAATTACATTTATGTTCTTGAAGAACTTCTAATGATTTACTTGGTAGTTTTTATACTGAATTATCAGAAACACTATCATTGTAAATTTGTTTATTAGTTATAATATTAATTTTTAGTGGTTTTTATATTGCTTAGTCAAAGTATTTAAAAATGGAACAATTTTTTTCCACAAAGAAATTTTAACTACTCCAGTTACTCCTTTATTATGTTGTTAAAAATTGTCACAATTATACATTATAACTTAAGGTCCAAACTCTGACAAGAAAGTCAAGCCCCTTTCTGCCAGGAAGCTAAAAAAGCGCAGCAAACCAAAATCCCTCTTCCCATTGGACAGCTCAACGCCACCGCGATCGCCTCTGGCCTTCATAGACAGCAGTTCTCCTCGCGTCATTATGCAGAAAAAACAGCTATCCAAATTCGGACTACACAGACACGGCAGTCAGGCACTGGGGAAATACCAACCCATTGTGGACAAGGAGAATTTGCAAAGTGAAACTAATAAGTGAAGTGGATAGGTGTTAAGAGATGCAGTGGGCTTAACGTAGTACAACTTTGAGTGAACCGGACATTTGACAGTGACAGTGACATGGTGTTACCCTTATAACAACCATGAACATGATACATTGTGATGGGAAGTCTCAGTCACTTACAAGGGGCTTTACATATAATGAACAAAAATAAATTTAAAAAAAACTGTTCCAATTTGTATGTTACATGCAATATTCCCTGAATTCAATCATAACTTTTTATGATTATTATTTGGGTTTGAGTAAGAGATCCAAGTCCATTTTTATGAATACCTTTTTTTCCTCAGTTGCATTTGATAGTGGAATTCAATCATAAAAGAAGTCAGCAGCTGGCCAAGATTTCATGATGTGGAACTCGGATGCCTGTGAAAAGTCAGCATGTGAAAAATGTCCGTTTTTGTCCTTAATTTAGATATAAGAAATGTAAAAGGCATAAGCTACAATGCTAAACAAACCCAAACGATTGAGATTCAATGAGAAATGTATATGTGGTGATATAGAGATCTAGGAGGATAATGGATGGAAAAATGTATTGTTAGCATGTTTGTTTTCCTGTTAGTTGGTAAATAGTTGATTGGTGATTTTTTTGTGACTTACATTAATTACAAAGAGATACTCTTAATTAATCCCCTGCAATTGTGAGCAAGTGTTATTGCCATTTCAGTGTTTATTTGTTTCTTTTTTTATTCTTTTTTTTTTGTGGGAACATTCATGCCACCAAATATAATGCAGCATTGTCTGTTCTTGGTACTTTGCCATTGGTTTAAAGATGGCATGATGGATGTTATGTTGTATCCATAGGGAGATGAATAATGAAGTTTTCATGTGATTGCAAATGTTTTGAAGTTACACGAGGGACCATTGTGTTTTTCTTTTCAAAAATATGTTGAATATTTGTGAATTTGGTAGTGGTGTATAAGTTGAATGAAATAAGTTTGTGTTAGAATTGTGAGAGTCATTTGTGTAAAAATTTAAAAATAAAATAATCCTTCAAAAAATATATTTGTCCATTGACTCATGAATAGGTTGACCTCGAAATTCAATTTTTAAAGCAAACTTATCTATTCCATTTTCTCTATTGCAACGGTACTGGACACTCTTGAAATAAAAAGAAACATTTTATACCAAAGGTTTATTTCCACACAGTCTAAAAACTGTTATAAACTGCAAGTTACAACAACGACAGCAAGCTTTTTGTGCGCAAATAAATACTCTGAAATGGAAACATTGCATTGACTTCGTATCGTATGCCAATTCCTATCTGTGTCCACTACCCAATAATAGTGGCCTTGTTGGTGTCCGTCAGTGGACATCCAAGAAGGTCAGCACGCATGGACACGTGGTTGTGCCACTTGACCGGGTTAATCCGGATGTACCTGGCGTTGATAGGGGGGTCAAGGAGTTGCACCTGCGGCGTGACGGGGTTCCAGTTGCCATCAAACACCTGGAATTGCACGTTTGGGAATAATGAGCATTATCACCTGTTGATGTATGGGTTTATTAAACCATCGTATATGTATTAGTAAATTTCGACTTTCATAAATTTCACCATTTCCCCTTCACCTTTATTTTCTAATGTTAAACCCCTGCAGATTTTTTCTACGAGCGCATTATAATTGTTCGATAGGGTTTGACAATATTTAAAAACTGATAAAGACTTTATAACCTGATAAAAAGCACTGTATTTAGTGTTTGTAAGAAATTTCCGTTTGGAATCTTACACAAAAGATGAACATTGATAAAAATAGCTAGAGCTGGTGCTTGTGTCGATTATTTTTCAAATTCTCAAAGAACGATATGTTAAAATCTGACTATAACTTTTCCAAAATTCTTTAATTATATCATCGAAATAATGAAAAATATTCTAAAGTCCAACATATAAGCGAACATGATGAATTAATATATTTACAAACACTTAAAAACATGTTTTTTAAGTATGACCACATCATTTGAATCGGTCTTTTGACAGGAGGATCGAATCGCAGAGTAAAAATGAAACAATGTATGAAAAATATATGGAAAGAATGAACTGCATTATCCAGTCATTTAGATATAAAACATAAGCCGTCTAAGCTTTCTTCCATCAAACAGGATGCTCACCTCTGGCTCGTGGTCGTGGTCACTATAAACACTCATGTCATCGGTTGCGTTTCCGTACTGGAGTCTGTAGGCGGTCACGTACTGCCATCTGCTTTGGTCAGTTCCATACCCTTGTCTTCCTTTGGTGATCACGCCCGTTATCTGAATGCCATAAAATTTTAAAAAACAAATATTTAACAAAAATTTATGTTTGTTGCAGTTTTCCACCGTTTTCCAGCCTGAGTGTGGGAGGACACAGGAAACAGCCAGGACCTCGACCTGTCGCTTCTGCCGCTTCCAGAATCTGAAATTCAGACGTAGAAAACGGAAGAGTAATGCTAAAAATGTATACGCTTGTTTCGTATGTCTTTGATTTGCTGCCTTCTCAGCCCCCCTCCCCGCTCTCTCTCTCTCTCTCTCTCTCACACACACACACACACACACACACAGACAGAGAGAGAGAGATTTCAGCAGTAATTCCCACTTTCAATCTTAAATAGAATTACCTTCCTAGAAAATCCCAGATCAAACTGCAGCCACTGTTTATCGTCGTTGAAGTTTGCGCTCCACCCTCCGTTGCCGACCGCGTCAAGGCCTAGATCAATACGGGACCTTTGCGGAATGTGCTTCGTGTCCACGTTAACGGCCCAGGTCGAAGACGCCGTGATGGCGCTGTCTGGAACAGGGTTCTTCCCAGACACGAGCAATTCACTACATTGGCGTCCGTGAGCATGAACAGCCTGAACAGCAGCAGAAATTATTAGAAAGAAAAAGGTGAAACCGGAGAGCAAGTTTTTGGCAACCATGACGGTTCACTTTTAATTTGCTCAAATTATTCTCATCTAAATAGGGTAGCTATGTATACTTCCTCCAACCTCTTCTATTTATCTTTAAATCCTATGTACATGGTACGGATGTTGTATTCTCACGACAAGGATTATTATGAGTAATATGGGACGTGCACCGGACATACTCCGGTTATACTCAACGTTCACCACATCAATCTCTCCGTCTCCCTCCCCCCCCCCCCCCCTCCTCTCTCTCTCTCTCTCTCTGATCAGAGTATATATTAGGCTCCCATAAACTGATGAATGTGTGCGACCACGCTCGGCTGTCACCTTGATGCCGCCTGATAAACGAACCTAAAAACCATGCTTGTCAACCATACTTGTCCAACATCAGCCGAAACATAGTATAAATAAATAAATAAATGAAATTTACAAAAAAAAAAAAAAAAAAAAAAAAAAAAAACGCTATTTTTCAACAAATCTAATAAAATCGCCATATACACCCTATATAGACCATAAAATTATGGAAGCTTATAAAACGTAATTTTGGGAAAAAAAGCGATACAATCCAAATAGAGTACCCAAAAGAAGCAGACCTTGGATCACCCTCAAACACGGTACCGTGCATCTTTCTATAATTTCCCGTGCTTCACCGACCTAACTAAAAAGTGTGAGATTTCAGGCCCGTAACCAGCAATTTCAAAGTGGGGGTGGGGACTTTTCTGAAAAAGTGGACCTTTCACCACGAAATCTTAATTCGTACCTAGATCATTTTTTACCCAGAACGGACCTTTTCCCGGCCGAAAGGAAGGTTTGTTCGGACCCTCATATCCCTAGCTAAAGCCCTGGATTTTGATGAAATTTAGGTCAGAAATGAAATGAATGAAAGCTAGGTCAGAAAAATGGGCTAAATTAAAAGTGATTTTATTAGATTTTAGTGGGGTTCCGGATAACCATCTGGTTTCAGGAATATTTCAAAGGATTCTTCACCATTGCGAGATAAGATCAGTTTTTTTTTTTTTTTTTTTTTTTTTTTTGCTCAAAACTACACAATTGATGATGAGAATAGTTATATAAGCTATAAAATAGTTATTTTATTAGTTGCTAGATAAGCTGTTATTGTCATGACTGGAAAGGTACGTGGGTATTTACTGCATGTGGCTGTTCCATTTTAGGCCTAACTATTATAATATTTCAGTTGACATTTCTGTTTAATGAGTATTTCTGATTTTGTTTCTTTGTCTTTCTTCGTTTAGTTCCCGGTTAGTTAATTCGTGTGAATTAAGTTACAAAGTGAAGTTAAGTTGCAATGATAGCGTTGATAATAAAGATAAGGATAGACATTTCAGCGTAATTTGACCGACTTGAGATTGGTCTCATCTTGCCGATGTACACCTATCGGCTACTTTTAGGATCCAACCCTGCCTCCTGACCCGTGTAAGTGAAAATGAGATTGCTTGATAAGGCACTGTTAAAAGAATTGTCCTTTTATAGCACATTTTTGTTGTGATCGAGTAACTCGGATAATGTTTACTAGTATATGAATGCTCAAGACAGAAAAAATGCCACTCTAACGGATGAACGCAAGCAGGGAAATTTGGTGGTAGTTGGGGGGGGGGGGGGGGGGGGCATTTTTTTAATAGGGGTTTTCCCTTTTTTCCGCCCAACTTTTCCATTTTTCTATGGGGCCCT